TATGAATATGAAATAAATACATAAAATCATAAAATGATGTCAATATTTTTGCCTTTGGTATTAAGATAATTTGAGAACAGACTGGAGAAGTTTTTAAGTTCCCTTTTAAACATATTAACTTTGAGACAAGTGTTAGCCACTCTACATTTATTTAGTAAATAAGTATTGAGTGCCTTCTCTATGACTAATATTTTCTGGGTTTGAGAGCAAAATAAGTTATAGGATAGATGATGTCTCTGACCTTGTAGACCTTTCTTGCTAGGTAGTATATAAGGAAAGAGCTTAAAAATAAGAAGGATAAAGTCAGAGTTGTAGCTGATACAAATGACATTCATAAGATTATTATCTGTTAAGTGAGAATGAATTACTATTTAATGTATTTGTTACTATTTGCTTTTTGACACTTGCTAAGATTTTAACAATAAGTCTAAAAACTCTAAAATCTGAACAACTAATTCTGAGGATTTATTCAACAATTGAATTTTAAAATTATGCTTTTACCTCTTTGTATCATTGAATTCAATTATCAATATCTTTACTGTTTCATGGCTATTATATTAACATTTTAATCATTTTAGCTTTTTAAATAATTAATGTGGTTTATTTCCAAGCAGAATATGAGTGACCTAGGCCTGGAAAGGAGGCATATATGCACATATGTTCAAAGTACAGATGAGAGATTGGTCCCCTAGTGCAATGCGTTAAGCACTGCTCAGAGGATGCTGATCACATATAACTGACTAATGTTCAAGTCTTCACCCCCCCAGCTGAAAAACACACCAGGTAAGATCCTCACGAGATGGAGAATTAAAGGAAAAAATAATGTAGCACCAGGTTCATTGATGAAGTGGGTGTTTTTTTCTTTCTCTCTGTCTTGTGCAGGTGGGCACACACTATTTGACATTTAAAAAAAAAAGAACATTTGCATACATAAGCAAAAAACTGCAGATCAGTCATAATCATAAAGATTTCTGTTTTCAATAGAGTGAAGCATATAAATATTAAAAAGAAGTTTATGTATTAAAATAAAACCAAAGCAAATAAAAATGGATACTATCCTCTATGCAAACTTCTCTATTACTATACACAACATAGCTACTATTTTCTTCTGATAATAAACACGGACATTTTGTGTTTCTGAAAGAAAAATAAACTATTATCTGAGCCACATGACATGTTCCACAAAATGGTTCTACAGTGGTCATCATAGTCGTTAGCTGACACAGTTGCAGAATAAAGCATAAAGTCTATCAGGTAGTACTTCCCTTCTTAAATGGTAAACATTGTTTTTCTACTTTCTCTATTTTCCCCTAGGAAAATTTGCAATAGTCTATGAATACAGAAAATTGATCTGTGTATGTTTATACTTTTAACTATGTCTTTTTTTACCTCTCAGCATGAGGTCATTCATACAAAAGTGAGGCTGATATTGATGAAAGTGTAGTGTCTGAGTACTACTCCTTGCCTGAGGAAGCAGAAAAGCAACTAGAAATATCAAAATGTTCTTGCTGATATTATGTTAAATCGAGGCCATAAATTGGAAAGTAGGGTTTCAAATGGAATTATTTTAACTTTTCTTGTTCAAAATCTTACAACTCAAAAGAGTAAGTGTTTCAGACAACATATAATTTTTCTCATCTCCCATCAACTTAGACTTATTTTCACCAGAGTAAATTGGAACCCTTATCATCCCAGAAGTCCAAACTTAAAATTAACACTTCTATCTCCTGCATAAATTAGGAAGCATGCCATGGATGGGCCTGGTCAGGAAGAAAAGAGATGAAGGGGAGACAAAAGATTGTGATGAAGTGGGTCTTTTTCTGTATTTTATTGCTACCCAAATCTGCCTCTAGACCTTCAAACAAATATTTTTAAACACAAATAGTTATACAGTTAATATGAAAAAGATTCAGCATATATTAAAACCAGAGCAAAAGTACAAAGAGTTAACAAAATTGAAACAATTAAGCGGATTAACAAGCTAAGATTGCCATGTTATTAATAAGGTTTCTGAAACTAGTCTGTATGAAAGTATTTATATTTGTTTATTGACCCTATGAGTTTATTGATTTATCTTAATTTACATTTTATCGCGTATCTTTACAGTATACAATACTTTTTCCAACACAAAAGCCACACGTCAGTGAAGACAAGGATATTACTATATACATTTATCACCAGCAAATAGCTTCTCATTTTTTATCAATTAAGCATACTTTTGCCCATTTTTCCTTCCCCTTTCCCTTCCCTCCCTTCCATATTAACTTATTTTTTTATTTTTTATTGATTCACAAAATATCTTAAAGTATGGACAAACTAGAATCTAGTGACAAGTGCACTGTAATTTTCTTCTGAGACATTTTTTATTCCTCTCTCTCCATTCCCCCTTTTACTAAAGATGGGTATAAACTAACTTATTAGAAAAAAAAATTATGTTAATCTTATTTGTCTGTTATTTGCACAAAGCCCCATAAGAATTCAATTTCTTTTTTTTTTTTTTTTGGAGAGGTTTTCGCTATAGGGCGTGTGTGCTCACCGGACAGACAGAGAGAGACATAGAGACAGAAAGTGAGAAATCACCCCCCAGAGGGGATGGTCACACCGCAATCCCTTCTCCTCCATTCTCCTCTCGGGATCTTGGGCATGCACGCACACACACCCGGCGTGAGTTTTAAGCCACCTGTCCGGGATGCGAACCGCAGTCGACTACGTGGGAGTCCAGCGACATAGCCATTACGCTAACTGCTGGTTCCCAAGAATTCAATTTCTGATGCAAGATAACAGATACTACTGTATGATTAAACTTATGCAAACAACCATTCTGCCACAAAGTAAGAACGCTCAAAAATATTTTCCAATTGCAAAGAGAAATTGACCCCATTATTACCAAATATTTCCAGATCTTCTGGTAAAAGAGTAACTGCTGAGTTCCTTAGTGAGAAAGTTATTGAAATTGCCATGACAAATCATGAATATCTTTATAGGTCATTGTATATAACAGTGTCTATAATATAACTGTTACTCTCATTCTTAATATTTAATCATTATCAAATTGTATTATGGATAAAGTATTAAGGATTTTCAGAAATTAATATAAATGCATACAATTGATAAAATTGTATAGCTATTACAAACAGTATTGTGGAATAGTGTCATAAACCAGATATATTATGAAACTCATGACCAAAGAGCAGGAGTAACTCCTTTCTTGACAAGTACGAGATTAATTAATTAGTTCTTTCCATAAGACATTGAGTCAATGACTCATAAGTTCATAAGAAAACATTAGTCATATGATTTCTACTGAAAATAATATTAAGTAAGTAATAAATAGCTGTTTTCTGCACTGAGCTGTAGTCCTTTTTTGATAAGATTTAATTCTTCTTCCTGTGGCCACCTCTATAAATTTTCAGTGAAGGTTGTTATCTGGAAACAGCTTCAGCATAAAGCATAAATTCTGTCAGATAGAACTTTTCAGAGGTATGCCAAGTAAATAAAATCTATTTACAGAACATTCATTATAGAACATTGTTTATGAAGCTTATTTCTCTGTGTATTTTCACCTTACACCAACCCTGGTTGACTCCATCCTTCTCTTGATAATCATTTTAAACTTTAAACAGTCCATATGCCACCATAATTACACAGAGTCAAGGTCTCATTCCTTTTTATAAAATTATTTTTGTATGCACCGATTAGCATTCTGTATCACTATAAACTAATCAGTTTGACTGCCTTTCCATAAATTTCCTCAGAAAAAAAATTCCACAAGCTCTGTTAGTTTCTAAATCCTGTATCTTTATGGATTCAGTAATTATTTAAGACACCATGGTAGAAACCCTTCAACCCAAGTTCAATAAAGCCGTAATTTACAGTTTCTTCTTAGAAGAAATATTTTTACATAATAAATCAATACATTTGATATAATTGAACAAGAGACAGGAGGTAAGTTTTAATGAGTTTTCACAGAATAAATCACTTTATAGTTCTTTTTTTTTTTTTAATACAAACACAACTACCCATAGGAAATCTTTTTCAATATAAAAGTTTTAGAATTTTGGGCCAGTCAGTGGCATGGTGGTTCAAGTAACTGATCCCATATAATGGACTGTGCAATTGGAGTCCTGGACCGAGATATTTGAGAAACATGGTGGGTGCATATGCCTGAGTGCCTAAAAGCCCAAGATGAGATTGGAGGAGAAGGCACTGCAGCTTGGCCATCTCCCCTGTGTGTGGTGGTGGTGGTGGTGGTTTTTCCCTTACTTTATCTCTCTGTCTCTGTCTCTCTCTGTGCTGAGTCCAATGCTCTATAGCAAAAACTGAATTAAAGAATGAATAAAAGTTTTAAAATTTTCCTATAAAGCTATATAAAACTGATGTTAGATCAGTTCTCTTACTCTTTGTTTCATGATTACTTTATTCCCATTTGATTACATTGCCATTTAGTCTATTCACAGTTAAAATTTTAATAGTAAGAAAGACCCCATCTTCATTCCCTTTCTTCTATCAAAGAATTTTAAGATTATTAATCTCTTAATTATTATTAAGATTATTATTTCCCCTCAAAAGTAACTTTACTAATCATTCATTTGTTTTGTTTGTTTTGTTTATTTTTTGCAAAGGAGCTTCTCACCTTTGAAGTAATTGATCACTTTCTACTGGTGAAAATTTAAATTGAAAGGAAGCATTATAGCTTAATATAAAAAGCAAAAACTCAGATTAAATATCATCCTATTATTACAAATTTATTGTAAATGTACTCATCTTCCCTCTAAAGTTTCACTTGGTAATAAGTATCTCCAACAATGTCTTTTCTGGTTTTCACCTTTATGCCCTTTGCTTTGCATTATCAATAATTCCTTCAAGTTTCTACAAACCAATCTGTCATCTCCCATGAATGATCTCTTTACTTTTTCTCATTAGTTGAATCTCCATTTTTTTCTTATATTTTAATATCACCTAATATTCAAATATTCAGAACTAAAGTCCCCTTTTTCTCCACATGTAAAGCATTTGTTCCCAGGCAGGCCACACATGTAGTGTCCCTTCTCACAGTGACCCCCAGACTCCTGTTTGCTGTGTTGTAAACAGAGAAACCATTCTCCAGGCTTCCTGTTTTGAACATGCCCTATTGTATACATTTTTCATCCTCCTTTTGCTAGTCTATTTTCTTAAATTGCTAAACTCATTCATTTTACTAACTTTACTGGATCTTAGTTTTTAGACTTTATCTTCTTTCATTTTCTTCCATGGAAGTGGATCATATATTTGCGTTAGGAATTTTGTCTATGGTCAGTCATTTTCAATCATACTTTTTTATCTTATGATAGTTACCTTGACCTCTTCCCGTTCTAACCACGGACTTAGGAATCATATTTTTCTTGGTATTCATTGATTCTCACACTTCTTGCTAGTGGGAAAACCTTTGTGAATGAAAGAAGGGTAATTGGAATTAACCAGATAGCTCCCTGATCTTTAATATGGTCACATTATGTCTGGAAAACTAGAAATTAAAAAGTCAGAGTCTCATCTTGCTTCTTGCTTTATCTTGTTTATTACTATTATTATTCACTCTCCAATAGCAGTCAACTTTTTTTTTTATTTAAGTGGAAAAAGTTATCCTCAATATTATGAAAATAGATATATCTTCTTCTCTCTATCACAAGAGGTTTAGAACCAGAAATTCCTTATATATATAATAAGAAAATTAAGGAAACATTTAAAATAAAAAAGATCTTGATATAAAGTCAGTAGATAAACCCCTCTTAAAATACTAGGGTAGGGAATTGAAGCAAACAGATGTAGCATTGTGGAACTCCTTAGTTAGGTACAGTCAGCAATCTGGAATAGGTTCCCAACATAAGAGAACTATAGTTAAATATACAAACATGAACTGTGGTTCTTTATGTGAGACCTCACTCCCTTAACCACGAGACCACAAGATGGGCCCTGTTCATTAGTTTTATAGACTTGGTAGCAGGTTACAGATCTGTTTACTGATATTCACCTCAACAGAGAACAAAATGTTCATCGGCTGGAATGGGTCTTGTCCACGAGAACATGAAAATGTATCTGCAGAGACTAATAACCAGGCAGAGCATTACAATGAAGCTTGGGTACTTGAAGGCATTAACTTCTCTAAGTTTGTAGGAGTTTAAACAGATTATTTGTACATTGCTATTTATATCCAGGTTAAACTTTGTAAATCTTATATATTCTTTAATTCTATATATTATTATTTTAAAATTTTACTATTGGGCATGTGTATTCATCAAAGAGAGACAGCAAGAGAAAAAGAGAGAAAGAGAAAGTAAGAAAGCAAGCCACCAAATCCAGGACTTGAACCGCATTCAGTCAGATGACAGTCTAGTTTGTTAACCACCAGGCCACCTGCTGGCCTCAAATCTTATATTTCTTAAGTATTTCTTTCTGAATGTGTTAGAAAACTGCTATATATTTGCTTAACATTTCTCTCAATGCTTTATTAATAATCATGAATACAGAGTAACAAAAATTCTTTGTCACGCAAAGTGTAATTGAGGTATATTAGAGATACTATCAGTATATGTACTGGGTTGTCAGAAAGGTCATGACATAATTTTACATAGAAAACTATGCCATGACTTTTCTAATAACCCCAATATATTCATATTTGTGTATATATATATTTTTTTTAATTTATAGCTTACAATTCATCAAAGAGAGACAGCAAGAGAAAAAGAGAGAAAGAGAAAGTGAGAAAGCAAGCCACCAAATCCAGGACTTGAACCGCATTCAGTCACATGGCAGTCTAGTTTGTTAACCACCAGGCCACCTGCTGGCCTCAAATCTTATATTTCTTAAGTATTTCTTTCTGAATGTGTTAGAAAACTGCTATATATTTGCTTAACATTTCTCTCAATGCTTTATTAATAATCATGAATACAGAGTAACAAAAATTCTTTGTCACGCAAAGTGTAATTGAGGTATATTAGAGATACTATCAGTATATGTACTGGGTTGTCAGAAAGGTCATGACATAATTTTACATAGAAAACTATGCCATGACTTTTCTAATAACCCCAATATATTCATATTTGTGTATATATATATTTTTTTAATTTATAGCTTACATATGCAATACTTATTTATTTGACAGTTCTTTTCAATAATAAATTAGTTAAGAGAAATTGTTTTATACTTTTTCAAGGTGTTCTAGACATGCTGAGGGGTTTTAAAGATGGTTTGCTGTTTTGTCTGTCACCTAGTCTGAAGTGATTTTGTGTAAGACAACTAAAAGCAGAATAAAATAGAGTTTATTATATTCAGTCATGACTACTGAACTTTGTGAAAATATCAATGCTTTTTACTAGTTAAAAAAGTGCAAATCTATTCTCTGAAAATTGGTCTGTTAACATCAAAAAAATCTCTAAAGTTAATACTCATTGCTTTACCTCACTAAAATTCATAAAATGTATAAGTTTTAGTCTCTTCATCTGGACATCAATGTGTAACATCATCTGGGAATGGCTTTGTTTTCTGTGCAAATTGTTGTGTTTTCTACAAAGATTAGTAAATATTTAGTAATATCATTATATCACCTATAATCGAGTTAATTATGATAGAGAAATAAACAATAAACAACCACCATGGGTTGTTGAACAGATGTATTCTAACATTTTAAAATAAATCTGCATCAATATGTAAACTTGGAACCTGCATAAAAATAAACAATTTAATGATGAATGTTGAGATTTATAATATTTCAATTTGGACATTACAGGGAAAATGAACAAATTAGATTTAAACAAGAACTCAATGAAAAGTTAGTTTCAAAACTTTATCTACTATTTGCATAAAACAGATCTGGGGATTCAAAGATATTTGATACTTTCAAATCACAGTTATTTTGTACTTGGATCACACTGAAGACCTGATTTACTATGCTTCTCTCCGTTTCTCAGTACTATATCGCATTTAGATACTGTATCACATTTAATTATGACTGACATAAAATAAAATTAGATTCTGCTAATGCCAATGTATTGAAGGATAGTTGATTTAATTTTATATATTACATACATTCATATACACCCAAATACCTGAAGTATCCATATTAATGGGTAATCCACAGCAATGAAAGAAAGAAATGAATTTGAAATGAAAACCAGTTTTGTTATATGTGATGATGAAGATATGTTTATATTTATATTATTAGCCTTTTTGTTGTTTTGGAGAGGGAAAAAAGAACAAATATTAACCTTTGAATTACTTAGAACATTAGTTTCTGTGTCTCTCATTCCAATACTATTCAATATTTTTTTGAATCTGTATTTTGTCTTCCTTAAGTATACTCAGGATACCAACAGATTATGCAATTCATTGAATCTTCAGTTCATTGATGATATACTGAATGTGCCTACTTACCACAACCTGTATCATATTTTATTAACTGACACATAATAATTGTACATATTTATGGAGTACAGTGTGATTTTTTTTGGATGAATACAATGTATACCAATCGAGTAAGTGTAAATAGCATATCGATCACTTCAAACATTTATCCTTACTTGGTTTTGGCTATTTTGAAAATTTTTTCTTTAGTTTCCTTGAAGTACACAATTCATTATTATTAACTATAATCATTACACTGTGCTATACAAACCTAGAATTTATTCTTCTTATCTAAATCTAATTTTGGTTATTTTAAATTTTAAGAGAAGAGAAACTTCCAAAAGTCAGAATTGAAACATTAGAATATTGCATTTAGGCCCAGCTGGGGTAGCGATGCTTGGCAGGCTCATGCCACAAGGGAGGGCCTGGTTTGGTTCCTAGCCCACAGTAAAAAGCTGGGCATGTGGAGCATGCCTGTAGTTCTCATTATTTGGGAGGCTATGATAGAAGAATTGTGACACAGCAACACCCTGTCTAAAATGCCACACACAAACACAAGGAGATAAAATTTAAATATTAAACACTGTTTGAACATATGCCAATTTAGAAAGCTGTACTTTGCATAGACTAAATATGTGAACATGAATACATTTTTTATGGTTGAGACATATAATATCAAGGAGTAATAGACTGAAAACTCTTTAGATTCTTATGAAGAAATAAATAAATTGATCTCAATATGAAAAGTTAGCATTCCAGGGACCAGCAGTTAGCGTAATGGCTATGTCGCTGGATTCCCACGTAGTCGAACGCAGGTCACGTCCCGGATCCAGTGGCTTAAAACTCACGCCGGGCACATGTGCATGCATGCCCAAGATCCCAAGAGGAGAATGGAGGAGAAGGGACTGCGGCGTGGCCATCTCCCCTGGGGGGTGATTTCTCGCTTTCTGTCTGTCTGTCTCTCTCTGTCTGTCTGGTGAGTGCACGTGCCCTATAACAAAAACCTCTCCAAAAAAAAAAGTATTCCATTAGAAATATGTAACATAATGAGAATCTAATTAGTGGCAGTCTAAACTGTCTTTTTTCTTGCTGTTTTTATAGAAATAGATGTAAATTATGTTTAAAATGATAAAGCATGGGGACCAGCAGTTAGCATAATGGCTATGTCACTGGACTCCCATGTAGTCGACCGCGGTTCGAGTCTCAGACACGGTGGCTTAAACTCACGCCAGGCACATGTGTGTGCGTGCCCAAGATCCCGAGAAGAGAATGGAGGAGAAGGGATTGCAGCATGGCCATCCCCCCCAGGGGGTGATTTTCCGCTTTCAGTCTCTCCTTCTCTCTCTGTCTTTCTGGCGAGTTCACTTGCCCTATAGCAAAAATCTCTCCAAAAAAAAAAAAAAAAAAAAGATAAAACGTGTCAGCAGAGAGAACATTTATAATAGAAACATAAAAGTACTCATTCTTATAAGAGATACACACAAACACTTGAAACAATATTTTCTTTTTCTTTTTTTTTTTTTGAGAAGTTTTTGCTACAGGGTGCGTGCACTCACCAGAAAGAGAGACAGAGAGACAGTAAGCGAGAATTCACCCCCGAGGGGAATGGCCACACTGCAATCCCTTTTCCTCCATTCTCCTTTTGTGATCTTGGACATGCACACACACTCGTTCGGCATGAGTTTAAGCCACTGGGTCTAGGACTCAAACCACGGTCGGCTACATGGGAGTCCAGCAACATAGCCATTACACTA